TCCCCTTTGTCCAGTCCAAGGTGAGCCAATCCACAGGTGCAAAGTTGTTATGAGAATTCAAGTTGAGAAGGTGATAACAACCCCCCTCCCTTTCCCAAGCAGGTACATAAAAGTGACAGGAAGACCAGAAACACGAAAGAGGTTTAAAAGGGCATCCAGGCCCCTTCCCCCCACCAAAATGGCAGTGTCCTGATAGGGATCTAAGGGACCTGACACGGAGAATGGAATGTGGTTATTCAACTGTAAAAACTTCTTGTAAAGGAAAAGTGAAACGTGAAAGTAAATGCTGCTTTTAAACATTATATATTACTGGTTCCAACATTGAATGTGTTGCAATGTCAACCTAAAGGCAATACAGGTAGTCCTCAATTTGCCATAATTGTTAAGTGAATCAGTGCAATTGTTAAGTGAGTCACTGCAGTCATTAAGTGAATACACTTCACCCATTGATTTTTCTTGTTGGAAGCCAGCTGAAAAGGTCTCAAATGGTGATCACATGATCCTGGAACACTGCAGCTATTGTAAATACATGCCCAAATTATGATCACATGTCCATGAAAATCCTGCAATGGTCAGGGCAAGGATTGGTCATAAATCACTTTTTTCAGTGCCATTGTAACTTCCAATAGTCACAGGACCAAACTAAAAGAAGATCCTCAAAACAAGTAGTTTTTTCTTCAGGCCTTTCAAATTGAGGATCAATGTCAGGAGTGCCATCATTCACTTGAGCTTCGCCTTCACTAGCTGTCAGTCTGCCATGGACTATGGGCAGAGGGAGCTGAATGGGAGGGGGTTGAAATAAATCAGGGAATTTTGGCATGCGAACTTCAGTTCTGGCTTTTGCTATACTGTAATCCACTTGACTTTTAGTAAAAGTATATCTTTCACTACAAATGGAGTCAACTAAAGGACCTTAGTTTTCTTGAGTAAAGGACCAAATCGGAGCAGGTCTGACAATATTCTAAGAAGAAAAATAAAGGATCTTGAAAAGAATCACTGACTATATAGATCACACCATTGAATTTGGGTTCCTCAGCCATGGTCTCTGCATAAGTAGGTGTATACCTATCACGATCCCAGAAATCGCTGTACCAATACACAAGGCATGGGAATTAGAGAATTTGAATAGAATAAGAATAGAATAGAACAGAACAGAACATAATTTTTTATTGGCCAAGTGTGATTGGACACACAACAGAAATTGGAATATTAATAGATGAAAAAGGTAAAAGATGTAATAAGAAAAAAGATAAATGTGAGATTGTTAGAAATTTTTTTCAAAAACTTTACTCTAAAAAGGAAATAGATAGTAAGAAATTGAAGGACTTTTTGAAAAAATATGAACATAGAAAAAAAGAAATGGAATATAAGGAAAAAATGGAGGGAAGTATAACCCAGCAAGAAATTATAGAAACGATCCAAAAATTAAAATTGGGTAAGGCACCAGGTGAGGATAGGTTGCCGGCAGAATTTTATAAGAAATTTAAAGACATAATAGTGCCAAAATTAGAAAAATTGTATAACAAAATTTTGCATGGTGTGGATATTCCAGCGTCTTGGAATAGATCACTGATTTCTTTGATTCCCAAACCAGGAAAAGATTTAGAATTGGTAGAATCATATAGACCTATTTCCCTAATAAATCAGGATGCAAAAATATTTACAGCTATTTTAGCAAATAGATTAAATAGCTTTATAGACAAATATATAAATGGTAATCAAGTAGGTTTTGTGAAAGGTAGATATATGTCAGACATAGTTAGGAGAGTTTTGAATATTATAAATATTGCAGAGTATAATAAGGATAGAATAGGAATATTAGCATTGGATATATTTAAAGCATTTGATTCAATTCAATGGGAAACGATTATAGAATTGATTAAGGCTTATGGATTTGGAGATAAATTTACTCAAGTTATTTCAAAATTATATCAAAAGGGGGTTGCCAGAGTAAAAGTGAATGGGATCTTAACAAAAGAGATAATTTTAGAAGACAAAGGTGTCCTCTATCCCCAGTATTGTTTTTACTAGCCATAGAGATCTTAGCAGTAAAAATAGAAGAAGACGAAGATATTATTGGATATAAAGGTGTTAAAATTAATTTGTATGCCGATGACACCCTGATTGTAATGAAAAATCCAGAAAAAGATATTGAAAAGATTAAGATGCATTTAGAGGAATTTGAAGAGTTTACTGGATTATCTATAAATTGGGCTAAATCAGAAATGTTATTAAATTGGGATATAAAAAAAGGAAAAGAGAAATTTAAAAATCAATTTGGAATAAAAGTTAAAGAAAATATAAGATATTTAGGAATAATATTATCAACAAAGATGAATGAAATGAAAAAGTTGAATTATGACAGACTGATAAGAGAAATTGATGAGAAAATCGGGAAGTATAAAAAATTAAATTCTCTTGGTTTGGGAGAGTGGCATTAAGTAAAATGTTATTACCGAAATTCAATTTCCTATTTGAAATGCTCCCAATATATATCTCTGAAAAGGATATGGAATTATATCAAAAGAAAATTGACAAATTTTGTAATGGTGATAAAAGGTCTAGGATAGTTAAAAAATTATGGTATCAAAATCAAAAGGAAGGAGGTCTTGGGATACCTAAATTGATTAATTATTATAGATCCTTTCAAGTGAGGATTGTAGTTAAAATAATTGTTGGTCGAAACGAATTATGGGGAAAATTGGAGTTGGGAGAAATTGAAAAATGGGGAAGAATATATTTTATGGCGAATATAGCGGAAAAAATTAAAGTTAGAAATGATTTATTAAATAGATTGTTGAAAACTTGGAGTAAATTTGACAGAAAATTGATTCCAGACAGATTACAATTGGGGAATTTGGAAGATGGGGATTTTCCCATAAATTTAAATAGGGAGAAGAAACAGGTGTTAAAAGAGGAAAATCTGGAAGGAATAAAAGAATGGATAAACGTGGTAAGAGATGATTTTAAAAAAGAGGAAATATATGAAAAGTGGAAATTGAATTGGTGGGAGAAGATACAGGTTAATAATTGGAATAAGAAATATAAGGATAGAACGAGGGTAAAAAGGTTAAAAACGGAATTTGAAAAAATAGTATCCCAATTAGGAATGGAAGAAATTGGAATTAAGGGATTGGTTAGTAAGGTATATAAAATTATTAATTTGGATAGTAATTTACAAATGGTGATGAAAGATAATTGGGTAAAAGATTTAGAAACAGATATTACAGAACAGGAATGGATTTTGAATTGGAATAGTAGAATAATGAGGACCTTATCAATAAGAATAAAGGAGCATAGTTATAAAGTTATCTGGAAATGGTACCTGTTCCCAATAAGATAATATAAAATGAATAAAAGTGCTAGCAAGTTATGTTGGAAATGTAAAGTGGAGAATGGGACATATGAACACATGTGGTATGGATGTCATAAAGTGAAGAATTTTTGGTTACGAATAGAAGAAGAATCTAGTAAAATAATTAAAAAGGTAAAGTTGGGAGTAGATACCATCCTCATATTAAAGTTGAATGACAAGGTGTTAACAATTGATGAAAGAGAGCTTGTAAGGATATTGGTCATTATGGGATGAATTGTGATTGCAAGATACCGGAAATTGAATACTGAATACAAAATAAATGAATGGTTCAGAGAAGTTTGGAAAATTGCTCTTAATGATGAGTTAAAATGTGATATAAAATTCAAAAAAGGATTATTGAAAGAAAATATATTTTGGAGGATATGGCAACCATTCGTGGACTACGCAATCGGGAACTTGGAAGAAATAATGCCAGTGCCAATGCAAAGAGAATTTTGGAAGACCTGAAGATGAAGAAAAAATTCCTCCGCTTCTCCCTATTTTGTATTATACACTAGGTGTGGTTTTGTGTTTTGTCTTTAATTAAAAACTTAATAATAAAAAAAAAACCACTGCTTTCAACTAACTCTGATACCTAGATATGTCAAAACAGGGCCTCCTGGAAATTTTAGGTTCAGTTTCTATAAATGTTCGCTATAGCTTTTGGAGCTTTTTAAAAGTTAGTTTAATTAGCAGGGTTTTTTCCTACTATTCTTGAAATAGTAAGAAGTGAAAAATAAGATATCCTATGCTGGTCTTCCGGGATATGATAAGAGAAGTATCTTGTTAATATTCAAGTCTATAGCCACTTATTTTGTTGATTGTGTAGATTTATTTTATTTGTTTATTTATTTATTATTGAATTTCTATACCGCCCTTCTCCCTGAGGACTCAGGGCGGTGTACAGCCAGAATTAAAAAACATGCAGTACAAATATTAAAAAACAATTAAAAGATATATAAATTTGGCCCAATTAAAACTCACTACCAGTTAAAACATTTAAAACATTTAAAAATTTCTTCTTAAGCCAGCCCAGCTTGCTTGAAAAAATGGGTTTTAAGGGCATGATGGAAGGCACTGAGGTCTTGGATTCTCCTTATCTCTGGGGGCAGCTGATTCCAGAGGGTAGGTGCTTTGTTGGTTATGTAGATTAATTTTAAGCTGAGAAATAAATGGTGTTATATCATGTTGACTTATGACCACAATTGGGATCAGAACTTCTTTTTCTCAGCTAGGCAGTTGTTAAGTGAGTTGCCTGAACTTTTTTTTGCCACAGCTATTAAGCAAATCACTGCAATTGTTAAGTAAGGCACGCAGTTATGAAGGGAATCCGGCTTTCCCCATTGACTTTGCTAGTCAGAAGCTGGCGGGGAAGTCACAAATGGCAATCAGACTGGGATGCTGCAACTGTCATAAATACATGTTAAGGACCTGAATTTTGATCAAGTGATGGTAGGAATACTATGACAGTCATAAATGTAAGGATTGGTTGCACGTCACTTGAATGTCCAGTGCATTGGAATTTTGAATGGCCGCTAACTGAATGGTTGTAAGTCAAGGATTACCTGTACTGAATATATTTTCAAATGAAACAGTTCGTGGATTTATTGTCAAACTAAGTTTTCTTTTTTCTTATTCACTCTAGGCTGAAGAAAGGTCTGAAAAAGACCTTGAGAAGGTAAGCAATATGTGGTAAGATTGAGTGTATATTAATACATGTACTATTTTATATTACAAATTCTCAGTATCCTGATAACACCAATTCAACTGAATGATCCCATGTGCTAAAAACCTGTCTTTCTTTGACCTAATATGGCATAAAGTATTTTTCTGACTGAGACTGCCAATGGAAAAGTACAAATAGCAATATTTATTTATTTATTTATTTATTTAAATGTTTATTCCGCCCCCTCTCCCGAAGGAATCGGGGCGGTGAACAGCCAAAATTAAAAAACATACAATATAAACAAAATTAAAACAAAATTAAATTTATCTTTGGCTTCCCCCAATTTAAAACCCCTTACCCATAAAATTCACCAATTAAAACTTTTTAACCAGCCCGGCTTGCTGAAATAAAAAAAGTCTTCAGAGCCCGGCGGAAGGTCCGGAGGTCCGGGATCAGTCGTATCCCTGGGGGTAGCTCATTCCAGAGGGCGGGTGCTCCCACAGAGAAGGCTCTTCCCCGGGGGGTCACCAGCCGACATTGCCTGACCAACGGCACTCTGAGGAGGCCCCCTCTGTGGGAGCGTATTGGCCAGTGGGAGGTTATCGGTGGCAGAAGGTGGTCTTGTAAATAACCGGGCCCTAAGCCATGGAGCGCTTTGAAGATGAGAACCAACACCTTGAAGCGCACCCGGAAGACCACTGGAAGCCAATGCAGCTCGCGCAGGAGAGGTGTCACGTGGGAGCGCCATGTCACCCCCATAAGTACCCGCGCGGCTGCATACTGCACCAGTTGGAGCCTCTGAGTGCTCCTCAAGGGGAGCCCCATGTAGAGAGCGTTGCAGTAGTCCAGGCGGGAAGTGACGAGGGCATGAGTGACCGTGCATAAGGAGTCCCGATCCAGAAAGGGGTGCAACTGGCGTCTATCAGGTGAACCTGATAGAAAGCCCCCCTGTTGTTAGTTGCAAAGTTGTGTCCGACCCATTGTGACCCCATGGACAACGTTCCTCCAGGCTTTCCTGTCCTCTACCATCCTCTGGAGTCCATTTAAGCTCTCTCCTTCCAACTTAAGAAAGTAAAAACTCTTGAAACGTAGGATTTCAAAAGAAACCTTTTTATTAAGCAGAAGTGACAGCAAGGAAATCAAATCAAATACCCTTAGGCAAGACAAGTAGGATTAAAGCAGTAGAGACCCCTCCCTTAAGTCAGAATGCAGATTTTAGCCAATACACAAGCATGAAGATGTTTTCTTACTAGCTGCCCTGAGAACCCGAATAAACATGTATTCACATCGTTATCCTTTAAAGTGAGACAGCCCACATGGCTGTCATAAACATTCCTCCACGTTAAGGGGATCTCAGGGCTCTTTGGCGCCAGGATATAGGTTGTAAAATATCTGTTGACACAGGCAATGCTAGTAAATCAAATCCAAATCTCCCCCTTTTCCCAATTGAATGGTAGTATTACTTTTAGGGATCTGACACTCCTACTGCTTCAGTAAGAGCCACCTCATTCTCTGTCGTCCCCGTCTTTTTTTGCCCTCAATGTTTCCCAGCATTAGGATCTTCTCCAGTGAATCCTTTCTTCTCATTAGGTGGCCAAAGTATTTGAGTTTCATCTTCAGGAAAATAGCAATATACTGATTCATAATTCTCCTCTATAAGAAAAGAAGTAAAGCTGTGGGACCTTGAAAAAATTCCTTGCTTCATCAAATAGTTGGTATGATAATTTGAAGCTGGCTATGTTGCATGTTGCATTACAACTCTTCGGCAAGAATTCAGAACATAACCAAATGTGAAATGTTTTGAATGTTCCATTGTAGGGAATAATGGAAATTTGGAAAAAAGCTTACTGTCTCAGTTAACTTAGGTCCAGCGGCAGCTGTCTTTGATATATGCTTAAATGACTTCAGCTCCTTCTCAAATCTTATTCTTTTCTCCTCTCACCTAGTCCCAGCTAGTAGTATCAAAGATGAAAATAGTTGGTGCTATTTTACTCGTGTTGCACCCCACCCCCCAAAAAAGGCTTAATCATAAAGCAGATTAGTCAAAGGGCTCAAACCTTGCACAATACATGAAGCAACAGTTCTCAAAAGAGTATAATTCCAATTTGGATCAAAAGGAATCCTACAGGTAGTCCTCAAGAAATATCAGGCCACTTAATGACTGTCCAAAGTTATGACCAATACCCCCAAAGTACATACAACCATGTTTCAAAATTATGACAGCTGCAGTACCTCCTTAGTCATTTGCCTTTATAACAGACCACAGGGATGCTACATACCCCACCTGTCCTGTCCCCTACCATCCTGCCCCAGTGGGACTTTGCAGCACTTGGGCTCCTGGAAGCAGCTGGATTCAGTGCCCCACCAATGTCTTGAGGAAATGGTGGATGGTTTATGAGCTTTCTGCTCTGGCCAGCTTGTTCATGGGAGGCTGCAAATTTCTCGTGATAGGCTTTAGGAAGCCAGCCCCTGCATGCAAAGGCAGCAGCTTCAGGACAAACTTCCCAAAACATTCTCCATTGTGAGTGGAGCCAGCAGCCAGGCATGGGTTGTACTTGTCTGTTCAGATTGAATCTGTCATAATTGTTAAGTCCCGCCCCTATTGCTAGGGGCTTCCAGGTTTTGACTTAGTCCGTCAGTCTAGACAGATGTGTGGGACTGTTTCTCTGGTGTTCTCTTGTCCTTTAATTATCCTTTCCTCCATTCTACTGATCGGAATTCCTGGCTTTGACCTTGGACTGTTACTTAGATTTGCTTATTCTGACTGCCTTGGATAGTTACAGTAAGGACTGTTTTTTTCCTCAGCAGCTCGCCTTAACTGGCTGGCTGACAAAAAAATATCTTTTTTTCTAATCTCACGTTTGTTAGCCCTGTTGGCTGGCTCAGCGTTCCGGGGCTTCGTGGAGCTTCACGCTCCCAGGAAGGGGCCTGGGTTCTTCCTTTTCGTCATTGTGGACCTTCGAGCTCCTGACAGCCGGATTATTCTGTGCAGAGCTTCGCGTTCCCCAGGGAGATTGCCGGATGGCCATTTTGTTTGCGCTGTTGTTGGCATCCCATTTCTTCGAACTGTGGCATTTGGCGGCCTGTGAATCATTTAAATAGCCCGATGTCAGTACTCCAAATTACATTCGTTCCAGTGCTGACATAAGGAGGAGAAGAGGGGGCAGCTGGCAAGAGGACTCTTGACTCTTCACCTACTTATTTTCCCTGAAGATAATATCTCCTAGGAGATGAGATGGGAGGGGGGACATTCATGGGAGCTGAAGTAGTAGATATGGGAGAGTGATTTGGAAGATGGCCAATGAGACGCAGAGAATTGGGGAACGGAAAGGGAAGGTTTGGGGTCAGGAAGTCAGTGTTGGCTATGATATGATCGGGGACAGATTGTCGTGCTTAATAAATGAAAGATTTAATCAAAGACTATTTGTTTGGAAATGCAATTTATTTTGAGACGACACTGAAACCTGACACACGACTTGGCATTTGCCTTTGAGGCTTTTCTCCCCCGGCTTATTGTCAACGGGCTTGGAAGCTTCGCGCTCCAGCCCTTTACATCAGGCGGTTACAGCCGATTTGGAGGAGCTTCGCGCTCCCATTTACAGCACCTGCCATTTTGTTTTGCCGCCTGGCAATTTTTAGCGCAGTTGTGCTCTCTCTGGCCTCCAGGCTTCGGCCTGTGCCTGTTTAGCATTGGATCCCCTGGTACCCTTACCTGGGGTTAGCACCTGGGCGATTGCTACTGCATCGCCACTATCTGTGCTCTCAGCTTGTTTGGAACAGCCCTTATATTGCCTGGGTTTTGACCTACCACTGACAGCAATTGGAGGCTTGTCTTTGACAGCCCTCGTTTTGACAGGCTTTTTGCCTCGAACGGCCTTGATTACTATATTTGGCCTTTATAATGGCTCCATTTGTAATGGCGGCCATTTGCCTTGCTCCTTGAGTGCTGACAACCTCAGTGGCCATTTTGTTTCTGGGCAACTGTTCATCAGACCCTGTGGCACAGTGTCCTTAGTGACATTCTCCTGCCTGTCTTGGCTACATTTCGCTGATTTCCACCTACCATGCCAAAAGCCTTGGTTAAGTTGAAGCATGGCCAGAAGGCCGGAGTCTAAAAGCAGTTATATCCCATACCAGGGGATCCTTCTTCCAACACCATTCAGGATGGTGAGCCTTCGGGCAGGTGTTCCGGCAGTAAGGTCAAGGATTCTCACCACAAGGCTACCAAGCACTCCTCTGCCATCGTGAGAGCGGAAAAACGCTGGGATAAGGTGCTACAGAAGATTTGTGATAAGGCCAGTGATCATCATCCCTTGCCTTCAACACACAGGGCTGATATTGACTTTCCTAACGTGGCGGTCACTGGTTCCAGGACTGTTCCAGTAACACCAGATCAGGTGTCCCTCCAGGATTGCTCTCTAAATATTCAGTCTTCTGACTTGTGGGGGTCAGTCTCGGTTCTGGCTCCTGCGGTGGTTTCAGATATGATTCAGTCTACGTCCACTTTGGGTCTTGCACCTTCTTCCTCTTCTGCTCCTGCCCGCGCCTCCATGGAAGCCGGGTTGGCCCGAGACCATGTTCACAGTCGATTCCTGCCAGAAAACATCCAACACATGATGAGACTGTTCAACAGTCTCTGTCAGCTCGACTTCTACATTCCAGCAGGGATGCTTCCCTGCGGTCTTTCGCTTCGGCTTCTCCGGTGAGAGATTATCATGAGGACACCCTTTCTATTGCAGGGTTGGATTCTCCCACCCCCTCCTATGTGAGCCATCCATCGGTTGTTGGAGAGGTTGACCCTTGGGAACCAGACTTATCAGTCGATGAGGGTCTTCCACCAGAGCAACCTGCCTTTACTGGCCTCTTTCCTCAGGCTATTTTCAAATCTCTGTTATTCAAGACGGTTAATACGGCCTGACTCGGCTCTGGCCCTACTGAACCGGTTCCTCCTTCTACTCAAGGGTCTCTGAACCCTCTGTTTGCGGAACCTTCCAAGTAGGTGGATTTTGTTC